TGGTGTTTTATATATATATATCTATGGGCTTTGCTAACCACAGTGGTTTATTGGCCACGTTTTGTTTACCTATCCTCTTGGCTTAATTGTTAAATTTTTTTTTTTCCTGCTCACGTGATTGGTTGTATTTTCTTGTTTGATTTTTGGGTCATATTTTACTGTTAAATAAAATCTATTAAATTTAAATTTACACTTCAATTTTTATCTATCCTAAATTTTTTGTTCCAATTACAAACTTTACATAAATATAATAACACCACCAATACAACAAATTTGATTATTTACTCTATTTTTTTTTCCTAAATGTGAATTTTTTTATATTTATTTAAAGTGAAAAATATTATATAAAAAAATGAATAAATATAAAAAATTTCTCTTGTACTATTATGTTCATTTTTTTAATGGATTTTAAATCACATATTTTTGGAAATAAAATATCTATATATGTACTTTTAGTTTGTAAAAAATGAATAAATATTAAAAAATTCTCTTGTACTATTATGTTCATTTTTTTACATAATATATATATATGTGATCCTAAATTAATATTATTTTTTATTAACTTCACAATAAAAAATTCACAAATCATGTAAGGGTTTTTTTTTGGAAATAAATGTTAATTTTAAAAAAATAAAAAAATTGTGGAGGCGTCCGCCGCATTCGTCCCTGTATGACCACGCGCATATTTAAAGTTGGGATCCATCGTTAGTGGAAATAGGTTGTTGCAGTTACTACATCATTAAAATATGCTTTCGATTAACGTGGGGAGCATAAAGTCTTTAATAAATAGTATTATTAGACCTCTGGGTTTAAACATGTGCTCTTTATTTACCATGGTCATCATCTATTTTTAGGTTACCTGATTGGCTGATTTGATGTACATTCAACATTTGCAACTTTGTGTGGACTCATTACAAAAAGTCCCTCAATTTCCATGCAATAAACCGTTTCAAGAAATAGTAAAAACAGTTGGAAGATGTGGTCTCCACCAATATGAAAGGAAATTGTATTTTGCATACAAATTTTCGGCGCCCATAGATGAAAAGGCGGTGAACAAGACGGTAGCGTTGACACTAATAATAAATGACTCGTTTGTTTATGAACCGTTCACGAATTCGATAATGCGTTTATGAACATTCTCGAATATTAAACATACAAGAATGCGCCTTGACACGAGACACAAGTACTATTAAACATATGGTGTAGGTATAGAAACTTAATTTGGGACATGTAAAAAGAAAAAAATAGATTATTAATAAGGGACAGAATTTATATTATATTTATATATACATACCACCAATTATAATATATATATATACACACAAAAGCATACTTTTGAACCTTTTTTGAATCTGCCACCATGCCTTTATAGACTTTACTAGTCTAAAATTTAGAGTACTCAATTTTTCAAATTTGCTGTTAGCCTGCCACGGGTACCCATCACCCATGTGATCCACACACTCATCAACTCACATCTATCATGGTTTAGAACTTAGGTTGCCTCAGTCTTAATATGCACGACGTACTGATACACAACAAAAATTGAAACCACTCCTCACTCTTCAATTCTCAGATCTGAGATCGCGTATTCATGATTTTTTCATTTGACTGAAGAAATTGATTTACCTCCGAGGGTCGCTCGTGTTTTAGGATCTCAAGATGAGTTTATTTGCTTGATTGCTTCCCTATCTCTTCAGCAAAAATAGGTGGAAAGATCCGTTGCAGAACCATTGATTTTGTGTCCGAATCAGGGGGTCAAACAGGGGATCTTACATTCTCAATTTCTCTACTCACACAACTGGTTCAGTTGAACGTTTTGCCCCACAACAACTCCGATCATCTTCTTTGTAAGTCAAATTTTTTAATTCCTCACTTCTTTTATTTTCTCTCTCAAATATCTTTACATAAATTAGGTGTTTATTCTTACTAATTTGTTATTATTATTATTTTTTTTTGGTTTTATTTCTTCATCTATTGAACCTTTATGTATAAATTTAAGGTTTTTTTTTTTTTTTTGAAAAAATTTGAACATATCTCTTATTTTCTTGAAAATTATTCTGTTCATAGTTTCTCTTTTGCAAAAAAAAAAGAAAAAGAAAAAATCACAGCTTCTCTTTATTAACTCTAAATTATTTGATGCAGCAAGCCGAGTTTGAACTAACTATCAAGCCGAATCCTAATGAGCTATCAAGCCGAGCTCGAATTTCTTTAATAATGGACGAGCCGAGTTTGAGCACTACCAAATGAGCTCGAGTTGAGCTCAAGCTGAGTTCGGGCACTATATTTTAATGATCAAGCCGAGCTCAAACAAGCCCTTACTCGGCTTGGCTCGGCTCGTTTGCAGCCCTAGGCACTATAAGTTCTTTTATGCTTGGCACGGATTTAAAAGGGGGCATGGCGCGTGGCGATAAAGATTACAATGAAGCTTAAAAAAAAAAAAAAAAAGAAAAGAAAAAAAGATTACAATGAAGCTTAATTTGTTGATGATGTTTTGGGCCACTTGGATTGAGGCTACAAATGCCCGACCCTAAACCCGAGTTATCAGGTATCCAAAAACAACGGTTATTAAATACTCTCACCTAGTTAAAATACTTGGTTTTTTATTTGGTGGTACATACTTCGAAACAAAGAAGTTAGCTCTTGTATAATTCAACATTTGCAACTTTGTATGGACTCATTACAAAAATTTATATGTCTATCCCTCAACATCTATGTAATAAACCGTTTCAAAATAATTAGATACTTTCGTTATCAATGTTTTTGTTCAATTTTTTAAAAATCACCCTACCATAGGGCCATCAGGCTCATTGTATGCCTTTTTCTTTTTTCGAAACGTTCAGCAATCAGGCCTATGGTATTGAGTATTGTAACCATTTGAAACTTCACCATACTATGCAACCTAATATGAACGGGCTTGTAACAAGTTTTTTTACAAACCCTAATTCTTTGGAAACATTTCTTAATCTGGGCTTCATCCAATTGGAAACAAAAATTGAAAAGAAGCAGAATCATGGTTTGGAAACTAGTAACTACCATCCTCCTTTTTTGAACCAACCCTCTATCTCAACCACCACCCCAACCCAACCCTTTTATTTGGGCTTGCGCTTGTATCTGTCTTGGGAAAGTTTATTTGTTTTGTTTTGGGCCACTTTTGTGGACATGTTCTTTTTATGATTTTTTGCCCATTTGTTTCCCTGTTGGGCCATCGGGTATGCCCCATGTTTTCTTGTAATTATTTTTCCTTTCTATACTATACCACTTAATTATCGAAAATAATAATAATACTAATAATAATGAGCTTGCATGAATATTTGAAAAAAGTTTGAAATAATCCCTTTTCAGTTCCCAAGCCACATACATAAGAGCTTGAATTCATTCTTTAAGCAAGTAATTTCAAAAGGATAACGAGTTCCTCTAAAATGAAATAAAAAATGAATAATTTTTTTGGAAATTAATTAATATATATATATAAATAAACAAATAAACCAACCTTAGGGGTGGGAAAGTTACTAGCAGAGGTCCATTTAATTTGGATGAAGACTAATCGCTATAAAAATACAAAATATATTTGATAGTTCAATAATTATGTATACAATTAATATATTTACACATATATTTTGTAAATAATAATAACTATATTTGAAAGTCAAATATATATTTACACACACACACATATATATATATATATATATAATAAAAAGACGTGTATAATATATTTGACTTTCAAATATAGTTATTATTATAGAACACATGTATCGATCCCATAACAAACACATCATTTAAATTAGAATTGTGATTCAAAAACACAACCTCAAAAACTTATTTTTCAAATCCCACGGATATACCCCAAGAATTAGGTCTCTTTACCATTGACTATTGAGTTTTGATTATTGAATATGGACCCTATTTTTATCACGGGTTTTTTGATCATATATATTCAAAGTGTTGACAAATATAATTGAGTTATGAAGTACGGACACTCTTCCCAGAGGTTTCGTACTAGTGTCGGACACTTTTCGGACGCCGACACGCGTGTCTGAGGTTAGGACACGTGTCTGACACTTCTGTGAAGTGTTCAGAAATTATTTTTTATTGGATATGGCTTGGACATGCTGAGGACACGGGGTGGACACGGCTCAGACACAAGGGGAACATGGCGGGGTATATTTTGTAATTTTTTTTTTAAAGATAAATGGGGTACCTAATGTAATTTACTAATTTTAAAAGTTTAAAAGTAAAATTTTGAAAAAATAAAAAAACAACTACAGACAACAGAGTATTACACAGAAAATTTATTTTCTCTCATTTTCTCTCTTAGTCTCTCCTCTTCTTCAATTATCTCTCTACATGAACAAGACATTTTTTTTTTTTTTTTTTTTTTTTTTTTTTTTTTTTGTTTTAAGTTAAATGAAGGAGATTTTGTGAAAGACTGAAAGTATATATGTTTATTCATGTACATATTTAGCTCATTATACTTATGTCTCTTATGCACATCTTCGTTTGGAATTTGAATTAATTTTGTTTTTCATTTATTTTCTGTTTTGTCTTGTTTATGTTTTTTCTTATAACAGAGATGAAATTATTGAAATTGGTTTTGTTATTTGTTGTTGTTTTATTTGCAATTTTGTATTTATATATACCTGTTTGTTATTAAGAAAATAAATGTGCAAGGTTTTAGTAATTATATTTTGAATATATATATATATATATATATGTGCGTATTCCCGCTGTGTCCGTGTCTTATTTTTTTTAAATTTATCGTGTCACCATATCCGTATCATATCGTACCCATGTTTTATGTTCGTGTCCGTACTTCATAGCAATTGAGCACCATGTATAAAAAGCTATTTTATGCATCACAACCCCACACTACCCTCCATGCTGGAACTTTTAGCTTATCACAAGAATACGTAGGCCATATATATTCACCAATCACAAGAGGATAGGGTGCCACATCACCCAAACACCAAAATAAAATTACCCATTAATTTATTCTCTGTATTCATATCAAACACTATTGTCACACACACCTTCATATGTAGAAAGGAGGATACAACTAGAGAGAGAGAGATTCATAGGGAGAGATAGGGATGGGACATAGCTCTTTCTTAAGAAGCCCTAAGAAGGAAGAGCAAGAAGTGCCAGACACCAATTTTACCCTATTATCTGATACCAACCATGTTTATGCCGACAAGAAGAACGATATTATGGATGAGTTGGAGGGCATTTTGGGCATTGAAGATGAAGAAAACTTACTACCTGAAGGTAACATGTATGGTCATCTTAATTGGGACTTCATGGACTGGGAAGGGTTTTCAGTTGGAGAAGAAGAGGAGGAAGAAGAAGAAGGAGACCAGAAGGTCGCGAACGTAACCGGACCTTTCCAAGAAGAAAGCCACTACTACTATAGTATAAAGAAAGAGAATTGTGGGTTTTGGGATGAATTTGATGAGCAGAAGAGGGTGTCTTTGAACTTGAGTTTGAATTATCAAGAGGTCTTGGATGCGTGGTCCGGTCGCGGCTCTCTTTGGGCCGACAATTATTCTCTTTCAATGGCCAATAACAGCTATGTCAGTACCCAAAATTAACCAGCTTTTTATTATATATCCTTCATTTTCATATTAGCTTCATTTATTTATTTATTTTCATTTGATATGAAGTGCGCGCACAAATAATATTACTAACATAACTCTCATTTCTTTCATGGAAGAATGATTGAATTTTGTTATTTGTAACATTTGAATTTCATCTATTGAACCAATTGAGGGTAGGAGTAATATATACATAATATACTGAGGCAAGTTGATTAATTACATTTTTTTTTTTTTTTTGATAAGTAATTTCCGATTTTTTCATATAGAGAGAGATGTGCATGTTTTAGTTGTTTTTTTTTTTCCCCCCCTGTTAAGGTTAATAATTTAGTCTAAATATTTTGAAGATGGGAGAGGTGCCTGTGATGGAAGAAGAGAGAACAAGGAGGGAAGCTAGTGTACTTAGATACAAAGAGAAGCGACAATCCAGATTGTTTTCTAAAAAGATAAGATATCAAGTTCGCAAACTCAATGCAGATAAAAGACCTAGGCTCAAGGTATGTTATCTCTCTCTCTCTCTCTATATATATATATATTTTCCCTATATCTCTCTCTATATTATATATATATATATATATATGTACATGGATATTAATGGCTTTTTGGATTGAATTGGAAGTGTTGTTTTGTTTCGTTGTTGCAGGGTCGGTTTGTGAAGAGGGTTCCAGAGAAGATACTAAAATGAGGAGTCCAGAAAAATATCTCAAAAAAGTATCTTACTTTATGTGAACTTTTCCATGCATATGCTTTGTGTTTGTCTCAATGGAAAATATCTAAATTCGCTCTCTACTTTTGGTCACATTAATAATGTTTTTGGTGTTGTGGACATGAGGTCAAATGACCCCACCCTGTCATCTCCATCGCATGGTCAATCCCTGGCGTTTAGTGATGATCTGCATCGTGTAGGATCCAACGGCCAATTTTCACTGAATTATTATCTGCTGCATTAAATTGCCGAGGGGTCCATTTACTGTGGTGGTCCTGTCTCCGTCAATATTCGTACTCCTATATATATATTTTTTTTAATTATTTTTTACTGTATTTTACTACGTATAAGAATATAATAAAATACAAACATTACTTAACAGAGGATATACAACACAATATCAGTCTTCTATTAAGTTACATCTACATTAGGCGTCCTGAGAGGCCCAAACTTTTATGAGGCCTAGGCAAATATGATGCCCAAATTTTTGAAAGGTACTCAAAATACAAAATTTTGGGCCCTAGTAATACAATCTTTGGCCCAAATATGAGGCCCTAGGGAACCGCCAGGGCCCAGGACTGGCCCTGATCACATGCAACAACTTAATACAAGAAATATACAATACCACTTTTGTTTTGAAACGGTGCCGCATGCATTCTCGATGTAAATGTAAATAGAATTCAAAATTGATAGGATTCAAGTTGTATTTTACACTTGGTACACATGAATTTTTTATGTTTTTGCATTTATCAACAAAAAATATATATATAACAAATTAAACGTATTTCAAGTAGAGAGATCACCTCCTCTCTCTAGGTTCGGTTGTACGTGTTTATTATTATTATTTTTTTTTTCAACACTGTTAAACAATATTTCGATGACACTTGGCAAATATGCATGTCATTTGATACTCTTAGGTTTTTTATTTTTTTATTTTTTTTAAGAGTTAATTATTAGAAGTTGCAATGAATAATTATCTCAAACATGCAAAGCAATGCAACCATTGAGACAATACCACACTTACATTTGATACTCCTATAGCCCTATGTTACTATTTGAAAAGTCAAGGGCCTAACAAGATGCCTTTAAGTCGAATATTAATTAATTAATTAATTTTTATCAGAGGATCAAGATAACAACCTATGCATGAAAATCACCAGTGTTGTAATTTAAAACAACAAGCTTTTCCATTTCATTATTTATTTAAGGATAATTTACTGTTTGTCATACTAACAGTCAAATATAAGTTGAACATTTTTTGATCATTGACATCCCCTGATCAAAAGTTGGATTCAAACAGTCCAAAAAAATATATATATAAATAAATAAAGATTGCCCTAAATATTTTTTATTTTAAATTTTAAAATATTAGAGGTCTTAAATGACAATTTTACCCTTAATATACCCATCATTACACCTCACCACTCTTTCTCTCTCTAATGGTAAGCTTCTACCACACCACACTATACCCAGACGAGCAAGACACCTCCAATAAGCTTCTTCTCCACACGATTTATAATAGTACTAGAATATATATATATATATAGATAGATATATATGTATCATGTATGTATTTTCCGAACCCAAGCACCACTCCACACCCAGACACCAATTCAAGGATTGTCAATGGAGTGGGCTAATAGTAATAATAATTCTTTTCTATTTTTTGGCTAGGCTAAAATTAAGTATAGTAAAATTTTTTTTTTTTTTTTTTGAGTGGATTCAATCCGACCCCTGGATCCGCCAGTGACACCACCGCTACCGCTAGTCCACCATCACCATAACAGAAAAAATAGACGAACAACCCTAACCCTAACAAACCCACCACCAAATCCATAGCCTTATCCACTCCTAAATCCTTTACCGCCGTTGTCGCCATCACCATCAAGAAAAGCCATCGCTGTTGAACTCTCAGATTTGGCAGCGACATCGACGTTGTTGTCGAAAATGAAGACTTAGCCCATCCTTGTGATGACCACGCACTTATTCGCAATCATGGGCGGAGTTTTTAATGGGCTAACCTGGGTTATAACCCAGGTCCAATTTTTTTTTAAAAAAAATTAGTATTATTATTCTTATCAACCCAGTCCATATATAATCAATTTTTAGTATTACTTTTTCTTTTCCTATCAGCCCAATCCATAGTACTACTATTCGTCTTCCTATCAGCTCAATCCATATGTGATATGTAATCAATTTTTACTGCTTTTCAGCCACTTCCTCTCAACATGCGGTGGTATTTTCCCTCATAGGGTTTGGCCTATTTAGGGTCTGGTGAGGAAATTGCAGAGACTTGAGAGGGGGTCCAAATTCTCATCTTTTTGAACAAATGTGTTATGTCTTTTGGTGGAGTTTGATCACGTGATAACGTGAAGATTTTGGGAAATTAAATGGTTCTTATATTTTTTTTGGTTACTGACGTGTGGGAACTGGTTCAGAAATTTGGTACCGGTTCCATGGAATGATAACCAAAATCAAAAAGACGTTGATCAGCCACTGTCCAGTGGGAACCGGTTCCAAAATCAAAGAAGATTCGTCTCTGGATATTGGGAACCGGTAGCCAATTCCTGGTACCGGTTCAACTTTTCTGGAAACCTATGTGATTTACTTTCCTTGTTGGTTTTGGACTCTACAAAAGGCAATTCTTGTTGGACAAGTTGTGTTCCATTGTATGGGGCAATTCAGTATTTTTAGGGTGTGAAAAAGTGTGAGAGAAATTTGTACTAACACAAGAAAGAGCGATTGAGAAAGATAGAGAAAAGTCTCCTTGCAATTCTTCATGTTATTCATAGTGAAATTGTTTGGTGTGCTCCATGGACGTAGCCCTAAGGTTTGGATGAACCATGTATATCTTGTGTTCTTGTGTGTGATTTTTCTTTGTGATTTTTCTTTATGATTGCTTGATTATTCCTCGAATAGTGCGCGTTGTTATTTTGCGTTTCCACCACAACAACTGGTATCAAAACCGGTTGATTGTGCAGAACAACTCCAATAACTGGTATCAGAGCCTTTGGTTGAGAACCTAGGGTATAGAAGGTGTTTGACGAAATTCTGAAAGTTTTTCAATCAGATCTGTCCGTTCAAGTGGGAGTAATGGCATCAGAAGATAAAATATCCACATCTATGATTGAGAAGTTCGATGACACAAACTTTGGTTTCTGGAATATGCAAATAGAAGACCTCTTGTTTCAGAAAAATCTATATCAACCTTTGGGAGAGAAGCCAGAGGATACAAATGATGCAAATTGAGAATTACTTGATAGGAAGGCTCTTGGCACCGTCAGATTTACGTTGTCAAAGTTAGTCACCTTCAACATCAAGAACGAGAAGACGACGATGTCTCTTATGGCAGCCCTTTCTAGTATGCATGAACAGCCTTCTGCAGCGAACAAGGTACACTTGATCAAAAAGTTGTTCAACATGAAGATGGTCGAAGGTGGTAAGTTCAACGAACATCTAAATGCATTTAACGAGATAATTTGGCAATTAGAGTCTGTTGATATCGACTTCAAAGACGAGGTCCGAGCACTGCTAATTCTTGGGCAGTTACCCGAAAGTTGGAGTGGCGCAGTTACAGCGATCAGTAGCTCTGCAGGGAAGACCAAGTTGAAGTTTGATGAAGTTTTAAGCATGATTCTAACTGAAGAAATCAGAAAGCAAACAGCAGGGGTTTCCACCAGTGGTTTGGCGTTGAATGTTGAAAGTAGAGGTAATGGTTCAAATAAGAAGAAAGGCAACAGTAATAGAAACAGAGGCAGATCCAAGTCAAGGAATGGAAGGACCTAGTTTCAAAATTTCAGGAATTCCACAGATCTCAGTGATGTTGAGTGTTGGAAAGAAGGGACATTACCGTGTTGATTGTAGACTTTCAAAGTAGGGAATCGAAAGAAAAACTGAAGCAAACATTGTCTTAGAAGAATCAGATGATGCATTGATATGCTCTTTGGAGAGTAATGCGGAGTCATGGGTTTTGGATTCCAGCGCATCGTTTCATGGCACCTCAAGCAAAGAGCTATTTAATAGCCATGAATCGGGTAACCTTAGTAAGGTGTATCTTGGTGATGATCAAACTTGCAGCGCCATTGGCTAGGGTGAAGTACAAATCAAGTTGAATAGATCAGCTTGGAAGGTGAAGGATGTGAGACACATCCCTGACTTAAAGAATAATCTGATTTTAGTGGGACAATTGTTAGAGGAAGGTTTTGTTACAACCTTCAATGAAGATTCATGGAAAGTTTTCAAAGGTGCTATAACCATTGCATGTGGTAAGAAATCTAACACTCTTTACACAACTACCAGCATTTGTAGGTCTATAACAGTTGCAGAAAACAAAGAAGATCACAACATTTGGCACCAGAGAATAGGTCACATGAGTGAAAGGGGGCTCAAGATTATGCACTTAAAGGAAAAACTACCAGGCATACTGGTAATTGATATTAACTTTTGTGAGAGTTGTGTAATGGGTATGCAGAAGATGGTCAGTTTCAAAAAGAGCGACAGAGATCTCAGAAAGTAAAAACTTGAGCTAGTACACACAGATGTTTGGGGGCCAGCCACTGTTTTATCCACTGGCGAAAAATCCTACTTCATGACTTTCATTGATGATCACACGAGGAAGGTATGAGTTTATTTTTTGAAGCACAAATCTAAGGTATTTGATGTGTTCAAGAAGTTGAAGGATATTGTGGAGAATGAGACAGGTTTGAAGATCAAGAGGTTGAGGTCAGACAATGGTGGTGAGTATGAAAACACTGGGTTCAAGAAGTTCTGTTTTGATAATGGGATCAGACTAGAAAGAACTATGCAAGGAACCCCACAGCAAAATGGGGTGATAGAACAGATGAACTGAACATTGACAGAAAGAGCCAGAAGTATGCGCATACATTCGGGTCTACCCAAACAGTTTTAGGCAGAAGCAGTCAATACAGCATCCTATTTAATTAATCGTGGACTATCGGTGCCTTTGAAGCATCGAATACCAGAAGAGGTATGGAGTGGTAAAAAGGTAAATCTTTCATGGTTGAAAGTTTTTTGTTGTATTGCATATGCGCATATTAGTGACCATACTAGGGGAAAGCTCGACCCTAAGTTACTAAAATGCATCTTCGTTGGGTATGGCGGAGATGAGTTTGGTTATCGATTCTGGGATAATCAGAACAAGAAAATCATCAGAAGTAGAGATGTGATTTTCAACGGGAAGGTGATGTACAAGGATAAAGATGCAACATAGTCAACTAGTCTTGTACAGAGTAAGCTTGAGTTTGTTGAGTTGGATGATGATCTAGAGAACATTGACGTGGAGCAAACAGATGAGGGTTCTTGGCCAGAACTCACAGAGCATAGTTCACTGCAGATTCCAACTCCCATGCCTACACCTAAAAGGTCTACGCGACCTCATGTACCGAATAGGAAATATTTAGATTATATGTTGCTCGAAAATGATGGTGAGCCTGAATGGTGAGCCTGAATACTATGATGAAGCATGTCAGGTTGAAGATGCTAGCAAGTGGGAGCTTGCAGTGGAAGATGAAATGAAGTCCCTTATCTCCAACAAAACATGGGAACTAGCTAAGTTGCCCATGGGGAAGAAAGTTCTTAACAACAAATGGGTGTACAGGGTGAAAAAGGAACATGATGGTTCCAAGAGATATAAGGCGAGAATGGTGGTCAAAGGCTTTCAGCAAAAGCAAGACATTGACTACACAGACATTTTTTCCCTGGTTGTGAAACTGAGTACCATTCATTCAGTTTTTAGCATTGTTACAGTAGAAGGGTTGCACCTTGAGCAGTTAGATGTCAAAATTACTTTCCTCTATGGTGACCTTGAGGAGGAGATTTACATGTAACAACTGTAGGGTTTCTCAGTCAAAGGGAAAGAAAAACTAGTGTGTAAGTTGAAGAAAAATTTGTATGGTTTAAAGCAAGCCCCGAGGTAGTGGTACAAGAAGTTTGATGGTTTTATGAAGCGACATGGTTACAACAAGTGCAACGCTAATTATTGCTACTACTTCAAGAGGTTTGAGTCAGTTTCATTATCATTCTACTTTATGTTGATGACATGTTATTAGCAGGTTCTAATTTTGAAGAAATCAGCAAATTGAAAAAGTAGTTTTCTAGTGAATTTGAGATGAATGATCTTGTGCAGCGAAACAGATTCTTAGGATGAGGATTAGCAGAGACAAGCAGAAAAGTACTTTGCAATTGTCTCAGGCTGAGTACGTTGAACGGGTTCTGAAGAGGTTCAACATGAATAATGCTAAGGCAATGAGTACTCCCTTAGCTAATCACTTCCGATTATCTCAAGATCAGTGTCCGAAGACAGAGGATGAGAAAAACTTCATAGCTAAAATTCTATATGCCTCAGCCATTGGAAGTTTAATGTATGTCGTGGTGTGCACAAGACTAGATATTGCATATGTAGTGGGAGCAGTAAGTAGGTTCATGAAGGATCCGGGTAAGCTACACTGGGAAGCAGTGAAGTGGATATTAAGATATCTACAGGGTACCACAGACAGATGCCTATGTTTCAAAAGGGGCGAAATAAAGCTACATGGTTATGTAAATTCAGACTTTGCTAGTGAGGTGGACCACAGAAGAAGTACTACCGGGTATGTGTTCATGGTGGGTACAACTGCAATTAGTTGGGTTTCACAAATATAGATGATTGTAGTGTTATCTACTATATAAGCAAAGTATATGACAATGACAGAGACTAGTAATGAGATGATTTGGTTACAAGGTTTGTTGACAGAGTTGGGATTCGAACAGGTGAAAAATGTTTTGTACAATGATAGTCAGAGTGCGATACATCTGGCAAAGAATTCAGCATTTCATTCAAGGACTAAGCATATAGGACTTCGGTATCATTTTATTAGATCTTTGTTAGAAGATGGGGTGTTGACACTTGAGAAAATACTTGGCACCAAGAATTCGGCTTGACCAAGACAGTGACCATAGAGAAACTGAAGTTGTGTGCAACTTCAGTCAGTCTTCTAGTTTGAAGACAGAGAGAAGCGAACTAACATGCATGGGACATGCATGAGAAGAAGATAGAATGGGTTTACAAGTGCTCCAGTCTCCAAGTGGGAGATTGTTATGTCTTTTGGTGGAGTCTGATCACGTGAAGATTTTGGGAAACTAAATGGTTCTTATATTTTTTTTGGCTACTGACGTGTGGGAACCGGTTCAGAGATTTGATACCGGTTCCACATAGTGATAGCCAAAATCAAGAAGACGTTGATCAGCCACTGTCCAGTGGGAACCGGTAGCCAATTGTGGAACCGGTTCCAGAATCAAAGAAGATTCATCTTTAGACATTGGAACCCGTAACCAATTCTTGGTACCGATTTAACTTTTCAGAAACCTACGTGATTTACTTTCCTTGTTGATTTTGGACTCTACAAAAGGCAATTCTTGTTGAATAAGTTGTGTTCCATTGTATAGGGCTATATATATCAACCCTAATCAGTATTTTTAGGGTGTGAAAAAGTGTGAGAGAAATTTTTGCTAACACAAGAAAGAGCGATTGAGAAAGACAGATAGAAAAGTTTCCTTGTAATTCTTTATCTTATTCATAGTGAAGTTGTTCAGTGTGCTCCATGGATATAGCCTTAAGATTTGGGTGAACTATGTATATCTTGTGTTCTTGTGTGTGATTTTTCTTTGTGATTGCTTGATTATTTCTTTGTGATTGCTTGATTTTTTCTTGAACAGTACGCGTTGTTATTTTGCGTTTTCGCCACAACAACTGGTATCAAAACCGGTTGATTGTGCAGCGCAACTCCAACAAAATATAGATAAAAAATCAGTGAAGAGAATACGTAGAAGAAGAATAATCTCTATGGGATCAAAAAACTCTATTTACCGGTGATTTTTAATTTCTATTCCCTGAAAAACTTGATTTGATATATGATAACATTATCGTTTTTTTTTTTTTTTTTGAATGTATATAACATATCTTTATCATAAGAATTATTGTGTTTATCTTCAAATTTTCTTATTATCGTTAGTCCCCCCTACTTTGCAATCCTAGCTCCGCCATTGTTTGCAATATATTTTACCTTTAGAGATAAAACAAAATTTGTCACGAAAAACATATTGTGACGGGCATCTAACGACAACTTGGCAACAATTTATTTATTTATTTTGTCGCGATAACCTTTCGCAACAAAATATGTACTTTTAGCGACAAACTATTTTGCTGCCAAAAACCAAATTTGTTGTAGCATGGATTGATTCACAGCGGCATGGTACGATTGACAATGGATGGTGTGGTCGAGAAGAATGACAAGTGAGGTAAAAGATAGAGGTCTTTTGAGATAATCACACCGAGTAAATCACACTGGCTTGCCATGCAAAAAGATATTCAAACAACGATCATGAAGAAGATGACGATGTTGGGCCTTTTGTAGTTTTTGGTAAGTTGACTAGATTACCTTATTGAATCATTTTATAAAATATATAAAAATAAATAATTTTTTAAAATGATCTAAAATGGCACTATTGGAGGACATGGGTAATGGATAAGTAAAGAAAAAAATAGAAAAAAAAAGTATAAAAGAAAAGTAAAAAAGTATAAAAGAAGAGTGCAAATTAAAGAAAACAAATCTGCTCCAAAATCTGAAAACTAGTGCACACTCATATTGGAATTTTTTTTCCTTTTTTCGATAGAAAAAAGTAAAATTAAAAAAAGAAAAGAAAAAAGAAGTAATGTGCATATAACACCCTTATACTATGAGATTAATGACATATATATCCTTTTGGGTATTTTCGGAAAAACAAATTGACAAAACAGATATTACAATATTAATTTATGTCATATTTTTTATTGAAAGTATTTTTGTACAATATAAAAAAATTAAAGGTATTTTTTGTATTCAAATAGAGATAAAAATACTACGTGCAATATATTTAGGAATATTTTATACACTTGTCCCTACATCATATACAAATTCGGTTGCCCTGTTATTATTCTTAAATCTGTTAAAATTATTTTTAATTCTTTCCTATAAGAATAATATTTGGGTCCAAATTCATCCAACCTTGGTTCGACAGTGTTATTCTGTCTATAATAATCACCATCTCTGCCCTTTATGGGTATATTATTAGTTTGTTTGTTGATTCTGATTTTTCTCCGTGCAATAACAAAATAGTAATTGGCATAATTGCTAATAATAATAATTTCTACTTCTTATAGCGTCTAGCTTGTTCGAAGCCCAGAACTTCATCAAGAAACTTCAAACTTGACCTGTTAAAACTTTAACAGCTTCAATTCAACGAAATCCTCTCTCTCTTTCTCTTTCTCTTTCTATATATATAATACACGAGTATTATATATATATCACCCCGTATATCTTCAGAGATCTAAACCGGTGTATGGCGAGAACCCGTTCCAACTCAACCGGAACACAATCACCAAACCCTAACTTCGCTCTCTCTCCATGGCCACCGACGCAACTCCAAAATTCCAAAATCCCGACCTATTGCCGGTCCCACAACCACCCGACTATAACCCGGCCATAGTCGTCTCGCCGTCGCACGACGGCCTACACTTCTGGCAATTCATGATCGCCGGTTCGATAGCCGGTTCGGTCGAGCACATGGCCATGTTCCCGGTCGACACCGTCAAGACCCGAATGCAAGCCCTCGGATCCTGCCCCATCAAGTCCGTGGGCCTCCGACACGCCCTGCGCTCCATCCTCCAAACCGAAGGAGTGGCTGGTTTTTACCGCGGCATCGGCGCGATGGGCCTCGGCGCCGGCCCGGCCCACGCTGTTTACTTCTCCGTTTACGAGTTCTGCAAGAAGGCGCTTTCCGGCGGAAATCCTAATAATCACGCCGCCCACGCGGCGTCTGGGGTGTTCGCGACGTTGGCGAGCGACGCCGTGTTCACGCCGATGGATATGGTGAAGCAGAGGTTGCAATTGAGTAACAGTCCGTACAAGGGGGTGTTGGATTGCGTGAGGAGGGTATTGAAGGAAGAGGGGTTTAGGGCTTTTTACGCATCGTATCCCACCACGGTGCTGATGAATGCGCCGTTCACGGCAGTGCATTTTGCAACTTATGAGGCGGTGAAGAGGGGTTTATTGGAGGTTTCGCCGGACAGTGCAAGTGACGAGCGGTTAGTGGTTCATGCGACCGCTGGGGCTGCTGCCGGGGCATTGGCAGCATTCGTGACAACGCCGCTTGATGTCGTGAAGACTCAGTTGCAGTGTCAGGTTAGTCATTCATATATATATATATATATATTTATATGCTATCTTACCATATCTAACATATAGCAGCAAGATAGATTATTCATATTCGTTTAGCTAATTGATTCTTTTATGAATGTATTTAGTCCATGTGACATAGATTACTAGATGGAAACTGTAGACAAGTTGGATTCTTAAATCACAAGTCTTAGGTTGAGTCAACTTTATTCATCAGCATTCTGATCTGATGGTGCTTTTTGCAATTCTGACAATATCCTGTTGTATACCTTATTAAAAGGCTGACATTAGTTAAAAATGAAATGATTGAATTTGGATTTTTCATAAAATCTTTACTAAAAGGGTAGATAAACTGCTAAAATATCAAATGATAATAATGTTGATATTAATGAAATCAATTGATTAGACTTTGGTATGTAACTTTTACTAGGGCTCTTCAGGAAGGAAGGGGGAAGAGAGATTTGAAAAACATATTAGGAAGCAGTGACGGACCTATAATTATTTCTAGTGGCCAGTGTGGGCGATTTGGTTTTGTATCCTGGTTCCACGGTGGACGTGTTAGAGGCTTGGAGAGGGTATATAGTGGACAACCTTGTCAAAGATGGTTGGAGGGTGACGAGGGTCACTCCCCATTGTTTATGGTTAGGTTTGTGCTGCGAGAGAAATAGGAGATCTTTTGATGAGAGGAATCTTCTATTTGGTCTCTCAAATACAATGTACTGTCTGCTTTATTTGTTTGGTTTAATGAGCAGATTTGTAAATCAACGGGGGATCTTTTGGATTTTGTGGATAGCTTGAAAGTATAGTGTTGCCTTGGGCGCCTTTTGTATTCTTTTGGGTTCTTTTGGGAGCGCTTTCCTTTTGAGAAAAACAAAAAAAAAAGTGAGAGACAAATTTTAACTTAAATAATATTTAACTTAATTATAAATTGATAATATTTTCGTTCAATACATTTATAATTGTCTTTAACTAGTTTTTATGTTTTCAAAATGTTGCAACACCACTAAATATACGACCAAGGGTTGTAGCTCGGTGGTATCTACTCTAGTAAGTGAAAGGTTGAGGTTTCAATTTTCCATAAAGGTAAAATGAGTATATGTGCTAAATTTATATTTTTCAATTCTTACAATGGCAGTCAGACTCCTAAATGGTTGGGTCAATGGTAAGATCAGAGGCAAATAAACTAACTTTTTTCGTCTCAACCATAAATTAATTAGGATTTTTCTTACTATCTTGGGGCTTGCACACCTTTCATGAAGAGTTAGTTCGTTGATGAGAACAATAAAAATATATACACATATATTTATCTATTTAGTTAATCAACAGAGAGACTTGTGGATGAGGGAAGGATTGACGGTGGATGATGGAGTTCTTGCCTTCTGTTTGTGTGCGTGGGTGCGAGTGAGAGAAGAAAAAAAAGAGGGAGCGAAAGATGAAAGTTGTGAGGAAATTTGTATAATTATTCAAAATTTTATAGGTAAAAGCATAGGTATTAAAAAATCATTCTTTTTTTTTTTAATCTGGTGGATATTTATATTTAGATTTTTTATTTATTTATTTATTATCTGAATACATGTTAGAAGCTCGGTAGTAATTTTATTAATGGCTTTCTTCCTCAACTGAAACTAGTGTTGTCTTCTTTACGACCCTAGTTTGGCTAGTTATGTCCGCCGGCATGGCCCCTAAGGAATTGTTTGCAGTTAGGAGGAATCAATCTTGACACATGAGGCACCAGGGCGAAAGTCTTTTCCAACTAGGCCAACCCTTTGGGGTTCTGTCAATGGAGCTTCTTAACATATGTAAGCAATTATTAGCTAGTTATGAGGCATGAGTCATGATTGACGTTCTAGTACATTATCCTGATTTGTCGGTGAGAAGATAATTGACCTATGTACGTTTAGTGCTAGAATTTTTTTTTTTATTATTATTATTTTTCCCCAGTAAATTCATTTAGTGCTAGAAACTTGTCCTTAGAGAGAGCATGGAGTTGATGACAATTTTAAGCATTGTTATGGATGGATGTCAGAATTATTTTTGGAATTACTTATCCAATATTTGAAGATGCTTGTGGGTTTTTGTTTGAGACCTCATAAAATACAATTATCTTAATGTGCTCAAGGAAACAACAAAAAAATTCACTAATTCTATCATCATTTATTAATTGTTTTCACAAGTGTTGCGTGATTCATCTATTGAGGAGCTTTTTATACGTTGTGCAGTTTGGGAATTGATTTAGTGTAATATGTGTCAGTCAACGTGCTGTTGTATTGGTTAACATAAAGGCAATTGTGCTTTTCCGTTCCAGCAATACCTTAATCTGCATGATTCAGCCATTATGTGGTTCAAATTAAATTTTATAGGCAGTGATGCGAACAATAATATTCATTTGTTAAGTCATATGTATATGTGCCATTTTGTTTGTATTCTTCGTGTTAAAGAAATTTTTATATACAGTGGATCTATTTCATCTATTTAACTGTGTGTCACTAAATCATGTATCCGTAATTTGTTGGCTTTGCAGGGTGTCTGTGGATGTGACAGATTCACAAGTGGTTCAATTAGGGACGTTTTTCGAATTATAGTGAAAAAAGATGGATACAGAGGGCTCATGAGAGGATGGGTGCCTAGAATGCTCTTCCATGCTCCTGCTGCAGCAATATGTTGGTCTACATATGAAGCTGCAAAATCCTTCTTCCAAGAACTAAACACTAAACAGGGGTAGCAACAATAGCACAGTGACCTGACAGATTATGAAGATTAAGGATCCTAAAGTTTCTGCTGTTCTATTCACGGATATGTCTATATGGTTGACAAAGAGAAGTTTATTAATGTGATGGGACGGTGGAAAATTAGAAACAAACATCTTTCAAACGGAAACCACGCCCTCGTAGTCTTTAATCATTATCATAGACAGAGTTAATTTGATGTATTATATAAACTGTTGTCAGTTTTACTAATTTTGTAGATAAACGCTTGACATGACTTCATTCATACCCATTTTTTATTTTTTTTTATTTTTTTTCTCTGGATTGTGTTTTATGAAACCTATGTAAAATTTTCCTCATTCATTTTGGGGTTTCATGATGATGTAGGGTAATCACTTAAGAAAATTTTGATCTGTTTATTGGATATGAGGATTGGGAATAATGCCTGCTTTCAATATTTTAGTTAGTTTATTTTTTACTCTTTAATTTGTTTTGAAATTTAATGATCTGATTACTAAATTTTTGTCAGTTTATTTTTTACTCTTTAATTTGTTGTGAATTTTAATGATCTGATTACTAAATTTTGTTGAGGAATGCTATCAACATATTCCTTTATGCATGTCTGCCCTAGTAGAGAAGGCTTTTTCAGCATGGGTGATGTAACTGTAATCCAACATTTGCCTTCTTGCTGCCAGATTTTAAACTTATGGTATGCATCAAATCTTGATTTTGTGGTAGGACATTTCTTTTTCACAGCGGCTCTTTTGGTTATCTGGTCTTCTCCTCTCAATACCAGCATAAGCTGAACAGACACTAGTATTTTGCTGTTAGATGTTGCTAGGTCACAGCTTGTGTAGGGTAGAGTGCTATGTATCAAATGGTTGAGAGAGAAGGCTGGAAATTTTAAAAGATGCATCTTAAGGGGAGCAACTCTTCATGTACATATAACTGCTTAGTTTTCACTTGCCTAATCCTTATTCTTATTTTAAATTTTCCCAGGAAATCAAACCTCATTATATGAAATGCACTCCTGTTTGTTTCAATAGTGAGAACCTGTTAATTTCCTAAAGAGGAAAAGTGACACGAGTCAGGTACTCCAATCCATTAAGCTGTATCATTGGGCAAGATCTGTTGCACTCATTTTCACAATTTACATCACTAACAATGAAATGTTCAGAACAATTGTATGCTCATTGCTTGAAGATTAAAGGTACACAAACTTTCGGCCAGCATTTTCACCCAAAAAATGCATACAATGGACCACTTGGATGATCACATTCATTAGTTGTCTACTGAGGTAAAAACAGAATTGAGAAGGGAGATCCACATTGCTGGTGTTAGTTACACACTGTTTGAAAAGAGACCTTTAATTTAAAACATAAAATGTCATGAAGAAAAAATAAATCAGTATAACCAGTTGCTCGCCCTTCAACTTAACCATTTTAGGTCCAACTTCATTTAAGAGATCCAGAAGTTTCACGACCAATCACCCGACCAACAATCACAGTAATATCATCTAGCTTTCCACCTGCCCAACAATAGACATTGGGTTAGCCTACCTGTGAAAAGACAAAAATGGGCATCGTATACGGAAAAAGGGAAGCCATGCCTGTTAACTTCATCCCCAGAATTTTCTTCCACAGAGGAACATCATAACCCTGCTTGGCAAGACAGCAAGCATGTCATTTCCATTGCCAGCATATAGGTGTTGTACAGGAAGTATGCTTATGTCTGAATTGATCTTACCCTGGTTCTGGCCTCCAATATATAGGGGGAATCAAAGTTGGAATCCATAGAGTGATTGTGAGCCAGATTAGCTAATGCATTTGCTAACATTCAAACAAATTCTCAGTTAGAAAACTATAAAAACTGAGTCACCAATGCTCAAAGCAGATAAGAGTCAAAAAAAAATAATAATTACCCGTCTCAAAAACATCACTGTATCTGGCCAATGTTGAAACAATTTCATGGTCAAAAACATTATCGAAAAGCCCATCTGAGCCCATCACAACGGAATCTCCCTCCATTAACTCCACACTGCTAACCTGTGTTTGGAGAGAAATTAGCCTGCAATCATTAATATGACCAAAAGATACATTTTGCATATGAAACATTCTCTGACATTTGGCAATAATACCTTAACTAAAGAATCCACATCAATTGCCACAGTGCTGACTAACCAAATACCATATGCCATTTTCACCAACTAATCTACATGTTATATAGACGTAAAAACTTGTAGTTCAGCAAAAACAAATTATTTTTCTGGGGTGTGTATCTACTAGAAAACTACCAACATTGAAGGCATATAAAATGGTCCTTGAAAATTTGTGTAGTGAGGACAAATCTGGCTATCTATAGTCATAAGATACTCATCACATAAGTTATATGCTTCATATATCTATGTGGCATTTTCAGGCAGACTTTATAAGCTGCATTAATATTTAATAGAAGATCAGAGATATTGTTCACCAATGGCAAGGCATAACATGGTTGCTTTCATCCACTAAGACACTTATAGCCATTTTTAGATTGATTGCCATAATGCTATATGTACCCGAACAAGAAAATCGATATGACGATGGGAATTCACAATTGATAAATATGAGGTACTTGTCCTACACATAATACTTTCGCAAACATTGTATGAAATAATTCTTAGTTTTACAACTGTTGCGACATCTGTAAAAGAGTGAAAGAAGTTGATTTCCTTCACAAATTTTTATATTTAATCGTTCAATTCTGAAGCTTGAAAGCAAGTATTCAACTACAGAGGAGTCATTGCTGTCTCACTCAAAATCTCAACATGAGAGCAGAAAGCATGACATTTGATTTGTGATGGAGACAAAGCACCTAGCATAGAGAACTTCATTCTCATGTAAAGGATGCTAGAGTACGAATCATCATACCGTGGCATCAAGGTATGTCTGACCAACTGCCTCAGAGCTCAACTGGTATGGGCAGTCGAAGTAATGTTCTTGTGGAGACGAGGAAAAGATTATTTGACCTGAACTCTCAGAAATCAAGCAAATGTCACTACTTAATTGCAAGGAGGAGAAGAAAAAACAACAGAGAAGGAAACCGTCCAAGTAAAGCTCAAAAACTGAATGTATGGAAAGTCTTTGGTTACCTTTACGAATAACTTTTAGCCCACAATCTCCAACATTGGCAATCTTCAGAATTCCATTCCTCTCCAGCATGGCAACAATTCTACAAGGTCAAATGAAAATCCAACGAAAATAAGGTCACAAATAATTGATGACGTCTTTGAGATTGCTGATGACAACTATCCAGAAGACCTGGTACAGGAAAATATAAACCTACACAGTAGCTGAACCTTTTGAAGAGGTAGCGGCATGTGCTTTCCTTAAAAGAATTTGAGGATCATAGTTAACCTGTCAAATTATGTAACATTCCTCAAGTATATCAGCTAACATATATTAGACCGTCCGTAAAATGATTTCTCAAACAGACAAATTACAGGGACAAATTGTTTAAACCGAGTTCTCAGGCGAAGATTGTAGACTTCACACCACCATGGTATGAAAAAAAAGAAAAAAAGAAAAAAAAAAAAAGAACAGTGTAATTGGTAAATCCATGGAGACTAATACCTCTTCATCCCCAACTAAACATGAAGCATTAGCCATCAGTTCCTGAGGGAATAATGCAGGATTCACATTCTGTTCTGCCCACCTGTGATGCATAAATTTAGTCCGATAGTATCTGGTACTTCAGTGTAATTTATAATTCATAATAAATTAATTATATATGAAGTAGTAAATTATGTAACTCATGTGCCTAGTAAAATGATATGTGCAAAGACCTTTAAGTGCGCCAATTAGAAAAAGTGACATAGTCCACATTGAGGGTAATACTAAAGGGAAGATGAAAATTAAAGTTAAAGTGGGTAGTGGGTAGTGGGTAGAGTTAAGAAAAATATGATAGCATGTGGATTGACTGATGCAATGACCTTAAATAGAGCGGAAGGGAAACGTAGGATTCATGTGGCCAATCCCAAGTAGTTAGAAAAAAAAGGCTCGGTTATTGTTGTTGTTGCTATGTGCCTAGTAAAATAATCTGCAAACTCTTGAAAATAGCCACGAAGGAAAATAAGTGAATCATTGCCTTGAATATAGGTTAACAATTGCAAATAAATATCTCTATAACCTGATTATATATATATATATATATATATATATATATATATATATATATATATATATATATTGTATTCCATTTCCAATATTGAAAGAGACTAAAATTTTTGAACTTATTTATAACAAAAAATTGTGAAGATACTTCTTTAAAATTAAATCTGTGTACCCAGAAACACCATCAGCAACAGCAATGACTCCTCCATTGTAGCTGCTCACACAGAAAGCATCTTCCCCACCCTTGTCAACCTTTTAAAAAAAACCAAGAGTTACAGAATGTGGTGAATTTGAAAGTAAAAATTGACATTTGGCAAACCAGTAGAAGCACTAAATTTAATCACCCAAAAAAAAAAGTATAAACACTCCACTTAAATTAGAAATAAGAAGGTAGACATAATTGGACATAAATCATAGTTGAACCAGTGATTTGCAAGAATAAAATACCTTTTTGGGGTGTGGAATGAGGTGAGTTCCAACACAAAAGGACACCTCTGGTCTGGGACCAAAGCAAAAGAAACCAAATACACATCAATCCAAATGCCTTTACAACTAATTAGTGTGGTAGAAGAACTACAGAAGTTTAACTAATTGGTCACCAAGATTATCTTTTTCTAACATACCCTTTATGTCAATTTGGGGTTTGTATATGAAATGAATTTCTACAACAACTGCAAAACAAAAAAGCCAACAAAACCTGAGAATTTAGACTTACCTAAGTGAATTGAATTCCGATGTTTGAACAGAACAAATAAATGTCCTTGTCATTGTAATTGACCCTTTGTTTGGAAAATTGGGAGAGAAAAAGGAATCCGAGAGTCGGTATGAGTGAGAAATGGAAGGCTTGAAAATGGGAATCGCCATTTCCCGCTTCCACTCTCTCTCTCTCTACATACACAACAACAGTTTCATTGGATGTTAGCTCTTTGGTGTTCTGTTGAAGAATCGAGCCACGTCGAAATCGTGATATATATATTGTATATCTAGTATATACACAAAGGTATATACAAAAATTCGGTACTTGCAAACATCAAGCACCAGTGGTCTAGTGGTAGAATAGTACCCTGCCACGGTACAGACCCGGGTTCGATTCCCGGCTGGTGCAAATTTTTTATTTTTGCTCTTTACCCCTCACACACAGTCTCTCTCTAAATTGACTACTCCTACTACATTAGGTTTTGTGTAATTTTGTGTAATTTCCCCCAATTGCAGTGGCATATCCCTAACGAAGGCCAAGAAATAGAATATCTTTTCTTCTTGGATTCAGATTTGTCTGGATCTCAAACGATGAACGCTGTGTCGAACTCTGCGACTGATCTCATTGAAGGTAAATATTGGATTGAAGTTACTCTTTTTTATTTTGTTTCAATCTAGTTTCTGTGTATGTGTGTGTTTATATGTATATATCGATGAATGTGATGTATTGCAGAAAACGCCGGTGGGAGTGATTCGGACTCGAACCACGAGGACTCGCCGGAGTACTATCAGCCAATCTCCATCGGCGAAGGCGATCTTTCTGATCAATCAAACTCTGATCAGAACTCAGATGAAGATTCTGATTTGCATCCTCTGCCGAACGGTTATGCTCGATGTGTAGAGAACAGGATGTCTATTCTTGATCTGAGCGAGGACGAAGAATCAGAAGAAGAAGAGGAGGAGAGGATTGGAGAGGCGTCTGATTCGGCGATGCTGAGAGCAATCAGAGAGGATGAGAACCGCCGAAATGCGCCCTTGACGGCTGAGAATGCGACCAGAGTCATGGAGGCGATGCGTGGGATTTCTTTCGGCGGATTGGCTCCGGATTGGGCGGATCAAGTTCCGGAGAATCAGTGGATCAATCGGCTGAGAAGATTGAGACGACCACCAACCACTGTGCAAGATTGAGCAAACCAAATCAAAATCAAATTTGGAGTGAGACTGGGTAGCTATTGATATTCCATCATTGAACTTTTCTTTAATTTTTGGGTTGATTTGAATATCTTATTGTGATTGTAAACTCTTTTTAGTTGAATAGAGTTTTTAAATCATGACTTCATTTTGGATTCAAGATAATTAAGCCAATCTCTGTGTTTGGATGGAATGATTTGGAGAAAGAAAAGAAAAGTAAGGATAGGGTTAAGTGTGTGTAGGCTATCCCTCTCTATTCTTCATTGGCCATCTCACAGAAGATGAGAGAGAAAGCATAATGTGATTTATTGATTTTTTGATAATATTAAAATTAGTCTCTACAAAGAGAGACTTAACTACTTATAATTATAATTATAAAAGGATAGAAAAAATAATTTAAATATATATATATATATATATATATTTCTCCTTTTATCTTATTATTTGCTTATTCAAATAATAATGATAATAATAATAATTATTATTATTATTTTATTTATTCAAACATGAATAAATTTTATTATTATTATTATTATTATTATTTTTTCTTAACTAATATTATCTTTTTTTCTTTTCTCATACATATGTATCCAACCTTACGATAGGAAAATAAAACGAGTCCTATCAAATAAATTCATGGGTAAAGTACATAGACACCCCCTGAAGTTTGGACAAAGGACAAGCAGAAGAAAGTTGGCCTGTTTTTGGACAAACACACCCCCTTGTGAAATTTGCCCTCCAAACAGAGCCTTAAATCATGTGAAAAGTCCACTTTACCCTTAACTATTTTATTAATTTTAATTATAAAATATTAAAAACATAAATGACCAAATTACCCTTTTTCATCTCTCTCTATATATAAGTATATATATATATATATATATATACACACACACACACCAACAATCCTTCACCACCGCCCCCAATCTCCATAATCACCAACCCCCAACCTCCATAATCACCACCCCCTAAAGAAGACGCCGAATAGGAGCTCTGCCACCACCACCTCCTCGAACTCGCCGGAGCTCAGCCTCGGTTCGGGTGACCAACTCAGCCTCGGACAAGTCGGGTTTGACCGGGATTGACAGAGACGTTCCCCACGCTAGCGTCTTTGATTCTTGACAACGGCAGAGAGTTGATTTTGAGCCTGCCATACAGCGAAGATTTGAGGATTAGATCGGTGCTGCCGCCGCCACCACCACCCTCTTCCCCTCTCTCTCTATACACACGCGCGCACATATATATCACCCATCTGCACACATCACCATCCCCAGTTCTCATCTGCGCACGGAAAGGGCTCTAATCAGACAGCAGAGGCGATGGCCACTTCAGCCTCCTCGGTCTTGCAGGTGACGATCGCCGGACTATGTTTAACCTTGTCGTCATCGGAGCTTGGTCCTCGCCGAATTGTTTCTGCTCATCGGTCTCTTGTTACTCGGTTTTTAAACCTCGCCACATTGTTCAGTCCATGGCCGCATTGTCATCGGAGCTTGGTCCTCGCCGATAATTTCAGGGTTTCGCCGATGCTTTTGGGTTTCGCCACCACCATCGCAGTCATCGCCGCCACCCCCACTGTCGCAGCCCTCACCACAATCTCTCTCCTATCTTTTTCCTCTCTCCTCTTCACCTCATCTCTTCAACTATGGCCGCCCCTCTCTTCCCCCTCTCTACACCCACCATCGCAGTCACAAACCACCATTCATTTGATCTCCCTTCTCTCTCCTCTGGTGAACTGAATAATACACACACAGGCGGGTTCGGGTTGGGTTTCGGGTTTGGGTTTAATAAAAGGGTATTTAAGTCAATTAAAGTGTTAATTTTATTTGAAAGGGTAATAAGGTCAATTCACCATCTTTAGGGTCTCTTTGTCCATTTTTAAAACTTGAAGGGGTGTCATTGTCCAAAAATAGGCCAACTTTCCTCTGCTTGTCCTTTCCCCAAACCTCAGGGGGTGTCTTTGTACTTTTCCCTAAATTCATTTTAAAATATAAGACAATTGACCATTTGAAAAGTTATAATTTTTTTTTTATTAGATTTATCTAAATATATGTATATTTATTTTATATTTCAAAATATTTCAAATTGCATTATTTATACCATACAACAATACACAATCAATAAAATATTAGTTAAAAAAGAGGCATGGCAACCCAGGATGAGCTGAAACCCAGAGATGAGCTGCTAGGAGCTAATAACCATCTATTATTTTGATATATATTTGTTAATTATTATAAGGGCAAATTTTTCAAAACCCTCAAAACTATTAAAAAGTGATCATAAAACCCCAATCAGTTTTAAAAACTCCTAACAATATAGCAACGTTATCATTTTACTCCAACTCTGGCAATTCGTCGTTAAGGGTACGTGAAATGACTAAATTACCCTTATTATATTCCTTTTTATTTAAAAAACCAAAAAATCATATTTTTAAAATTACAAAATTATCCTCTACAGTGTACCTTATAGTGGGTACAGTATTAAATTCAAACGATGCCAAATTTATGATGGCAGAGGACGTAGTTCGCACCTGGCCTCTTCACCTCATAAATTGACAAATCTTGACAAGGAGGATAGGTGTGGTATGGGGTACCCTTCTCTTCTTCCTCAAACACAACATGGATCCTAAACTCCTTTACCTTAAGATTAACACCATACCAAAAACCCACTGAAATATTGATTTCATCGCCAGCTTCCATTAATTGATTCGCAAAATTCCGGTGGCTTAACCATACCATGTCGTTGCAGTCCTTTGGAGCGCCCATTTGGGCAGTATGTCCACTTCACATCCTTTGTTCTATTACTCTAATCGTGCATAACTCCTTTCAATAATCTCCGATCGGATGACCAGGTTTTGCATAGACAACGTATACATTCAAGCCTTGGATCTTCAAATTAGGAAATGAAAATACATTAAAACGTATTGAAGATCCCATGCTCTTCATGCTAAACCAGCCTGGAACTTCACTACCAGGGAGAAAAGTACTAAATATACCCAATTCATACAGTCCCTACAACATGAAAATCATAATTTTCAATTCTTAGTTTCTTACCAACATGAGAGAGAGAGAGAGAGCTTACCTGGATGAGAACTTTTCTTTGAGTTAATTGTTGGTCAACTGAAGCTCCAGCAAATTTGACAAGTTTCCTATCTCTCGTCGGTCACCTGAAAACCTCCGTTAAAGCCAGCGAGAGCAAACCTCGGAACAGTTTCATCGAGCTTCGAGATACCCGCGAACTTTTCAGCAGCAAACTTCAAAATTTCACCGAATAGTTCCGGTGACTGCAACCAACTTCACCGGTGAGCATGCGTAATGGCGACGGCGGTGCGACACTCCATTGCTACAATATAGTCGCCATGGTGGTGCAGCACTCCACGGCCATGAAGAAGGCTTCAATCTCACGAACTCAGCTTTGGTCAATGTAAAATCGTGCAAGTCTTGGAACTCTAATGTGTCACTGTCACCTTCACCGTCGTTTCAGTTTTAGGAGCTCGCTGTTAGCCTTTTGCAATGGTGGGCTGAGGTAGCGTGGACATGCACGTTGTCGGACTGAAGTGGGTTTCACGGAAAAGAAATGCACCGGACTGAAATGGGTTTCGTGGACATCCTAAACCCATGACTGAATCCATAACCAGCTACCTCATCCTAGACTAATGGAGGAGAAAAGATGAACTAGAACGATGACACTGTGGGTGTGTTTTTACTATTACAAGCTTGGGGGTATTTTCGGTATAACACATTTAAATACACATTACTTGTTTGGCACATGTGACAGCAGGGATATTTTCGTTAGAAAAGTCAATTTGTCAAAGCATTTGTTAACCACGCGCTGGGTTAACGGGGCCAATTGCCAGAGTTGGGGTAAAATGATTATGTTGCTATATTGTTGGGGGTTTTTTAAACTGGTTGGGGTTTTATGATCACTTTTTAATAGTTTTGGGGGTTTTGAGAAATTTGCCTCTATTATAATGATCAAAGTTACTTCGATAGATATTTGTTAATTGCTATAATAATTAAAGTTAATGATTTATCTAATTCTCAAAAACAACGACAAAAAGAAAAATTAAAAAAAAAAAAATTGCAAAAGTATAAAAAAATTATAAAACATTGCAGTTTTAAATCTAGATTTTGTACAAATCAAATTATTTAAGCTAAAATTTTGAATAAACACATCATATTTTTATGTCATTCGGTTTTAAGTCGGTATTAACCACATCATATTTTTATGTCTTGTCAGTTTTAAGTCGGTATTAAAGTCATCAATAATATCAATTTTCGAATAAAAATAAATTAATCTTTTTATAATCCAATACTAAGTAAGATTTTATAAATAACAGAGAAATGCAACTGTATATAGGCATAGCCCTCGAATCTTTGACAAGCCCAATTCGAAAAGAACCACAGAAACAACAAGCCAAGCCCATCAGTATAACGAAGACAAAACAAGTCGAGTATGAATTAGCCCAATCCCAAAAAAACCACAGAAACAACAGGCCAAGAACCAGCAGTATAACGAAGACATAAAACAAGTCTAGTACGTATAATAGTAGACTAATTATGTCTAAGCCCTACAGTCATCCGGTAAACAAAGATTAGGGCAAAAGCCCTAAAATGGGTGGTCATGTGGCTCCACTTACTGAATTGCTCAACAAAATAATTAAATATACAAGGAAACACATACTCCATATAGAGATGATTACTTCTAAAAGAGTAGTTATGAAATACTTCTTAGCTCACATTTATATTTTTTATTATCCAAAATAAATATTACATTTTGAGAAAAGGAATATTAACGGAGGGAGTATTTTTATTCCTACGGATATGACATATGGCTGTTTGGATCAATATACACCTATCAAGCAAAAAAAAAATAATAATAATAATAATTCCTGTTCCTTTTGTCACATAAATGATTTAAAACTAGGGAAATGCCCAATGTTGAATAAAAGCATGCACCATCTTCTCTTCATCAACTTTGTAATATTGAGAGACACAAGATCGACCAAATTGACTCTCATGAAATGGAATTTATTGAGATTAGAACTTGCAACACTTTAACCACGTGATTAGTATGATTATGGACACAATAATTGGCTGAATAAAATAAAAGTCACCAAAAAAAACAAAAATATTCAACTATTTGAGACCG